AGAACAAGATAAGTCTATAGAAACGAACCTGAGTGATTTGGAGATATGTGATTTACCCCACAGGGAATTCAATATCATCATCATACAGATGCTCACTGAGGTCAGGAAAATAATGCAAGAACAAAGTGAGAACTTCAACAAAGGGATAGAAAGTATTAAAAAAATACCAAACAGAAATCATAGATCTGGAGAACACTATAACTGAACTGAAAAATTCACTAGAGGGGTTCAACAGCAGACAAAATTAAGCAGAAGAAAGGACCAATGAATTCAAAGACAGGTCACTGGAAATCATTTGATATGATGAGAAAAAGGAAAAAAAGAATGAAAAAGGGTAAAGACAGCTTAAGAGACTTACGGGACACCATTAAGTAGAAGAACTTATGTATTATCAGTGTGCAGAAAGAAGAACGAAAGGGAAAGAAAACATATTCAAAGAAATAATGGCAGAACATTTTCCAAGCCTGGGGAAAGAAACAGCAAGATCCAGGAAGCCCAAAGAACACTAAAGGAGATGAATCTAAAGAGACCCACACCAAGATATATCATAATTAAACTGTCAAAAGTTACAGACAAAGAAACTATGTTGAAAGTAGCAAGGGAAAAATGAATCATGACATATAAAGGAACTGCCACACAACTATCAGTAGATTTCTCAGCAAAAACCTTACAGGCTAGAAGGGCATGGAATGATAATTCACAAAAAGACCTGCCAAACAAGAATACTATATCCAGAAATTCTGTCTTTCAAAAATGAAGGAGTGTTAAAGGCTTTCCTAGACAAAAGATGAGAGAGTTTATCACCATTAGACCTGCTTTATAAGAAATGCTAAAGGGAGTTCTTTAAGCTGAAGGAAGAGGAGCCTAATTAGTAACATGAAAACATATGAAGGTATAAAACTCACTGGTAAAATTAAGTACATTGTCAAATCCAAAACATTCTAATACTGTAATGGTTGTGGCTAAATCAGTTATATCTCTAGTTTAAAGACTAAAAAGGAAAAACTATTAAAAACAACTTTAAATTGTTAAGGAGTATAAATTATTAGAAAATGTAAAATGAGACATCAAAAACATAAAATGTAGGAGGAAAAGGAATAAAAGTGTAAAGTTTGTGTATGCAATCAAAATTGAGTTGTGATCAACTTAAAATAGCTCATTATAAATATAAGATGTTTTATGTAAGCATCAGAGCAATCATAAAGCAAAAGTCTATAATATATACACAAAAAATACAAAGAAAAGATCTAAAGCATACCATAACAGAAAGCCATCAAAGCACTCAGGAAGAAAGCAAAAGAGGAAGAAAGAAACAAAGGATCTTCAAAATGATCAGAAAACAATTAACAAAATAGCACTAGTAAGTCCTCACCTAGCAATAATTACTTTGAATGTAAATGGATTAAATTCTCCAATCAAAAGACATAGAGTAGTGGAATAGATCTAAAAGACCCAACTATGTGCTATCTACAAGAGCCTCATATCACCCTAAAGGGCACTTTTAGACTGAAAGTAAAGGGATGGAAAAAGATATTCCATGCAAATTAAAACCAAACAAGAGCAGAACTAACTATACTTATTTCATAAAAAATAGACTTTAGTGCAAAAACTGTAAAAAGAGACAAAGAAAGTCATTATCTTGTGATAAAGAGGTCAATTCATCAAGAGGATATAACAATTGCAAACATATACACATTCAACATCAGAGCACCTAAGTATACAAAGCAAACATTAAGAGATCTGAAGGGAGACATAGATTGCAACACAATAATAATAGGGTACTTCAATACCCTGCTTTCAACAAAAGACAGATGATCCAGACAGAAAATCAATAACAAAACACTGGAAATGAACTACACTTAGGCCAAATGGACCTAACAAACATTTTCAGAACATTCCACCCAACAGCAACAGAATACACATTCTTCTCAAGTGACACAGAACATTCTCCAGGACAGATTATATGTTAGGCCACAAAAAGAGTCTTAACAAATTTTAAAAGATTGAAATCATATCAAGTATCTTTTCTAATTGCGATGCTTTTAAACTAGAAATCGCTAACAAGAGAAATCAAGGAAAATTAGCAAATATATGGATATTAAACAATATGCTCCTGAACAACTAGCTTATCAAAGAAAAAACCACTATAAGAAGAACAAACTAACCCCAAAACTAGGAGAAGGAAGAAAGATCAGAGCAGAAATAAATAAAATAGAGACTAGAAAAATGATATAAAAGATCAATGTAACTAAGAATCATTTTTTGAAAAGATAAACAAAATTGACAAACCATCAGCTATAAAGGGAGAAGACTCAAATAAACAAAATCAGAAATGAAAGAGGAGACAGTACAACTGATAATACAAAAATGCAAAAAGCATCGTAGGAGACTATTATGGACAGACATACACAAATAAATTGGACAACATAGAAGAAATGGATAAATTCCTAGAAACATTAACCTACCAAGACTGAATCTTGAAGAAATCAGAAATATGAACAGACCAATAAAAAGCAAGGATATTTAATCAGTAATTAGAAGTCTCCCATCAAGGAAACACACAGGACCAAGTGGCTTCATAGCTAAATCCTACCAGACCAAGTATTACAGGGACTACTATAATACCAATCCTCTCAAACTGTTCCAAAAATTTGAGGAAAAGGGAATACTGCCAATCTCATTTTACAAGTCCAACATTACCCTGCCAGACAAAGCCAGACAAAGTCACTACCAGAAAACTACAGTCCAATATCTCTGATGAACTTAGATGCAAAAATCCTCAACAAAGTACTAGCAAACTATATTTAACAACACATTAAAAAGATCATTCACCATGATCAAGTGGGATTTACTCTTGGGATGCAAAGATGGTTCAACATATGCAAATCAATAAATGTGATTCACCATATTAACAGAATGAAGGACAAAAACCATATGATCATCTCCATAGGTGCAGAAAAAGCATTTGACAAAATTTAACATCCTTTCGTAATAAAAACTCTTAACAAACTAGGTATAAAAGGAATGCTCCTCAATACAATAAAGGTCAAATACGACAAGCTCACAGCTAACATCATACTCAATGGTGAAAAGCTGAAGGATTTTCCTCTAAGATCGGGAAAAAAACAAGGATGGCCATTCTCACTATTTCTGCGCGATACAGTATTTGGAAGTCCTAGCCAGAGCACACAGGCAAGAAAAAGAAATAAAAGTCATTCAAATAGGAAAGGAAGAAGTGAGATTGTCTCTGTTTGCTTAGGAGATGATCTTACATGTAGAAAACCCCAAAGAATTGATAAACAAATTCAGTAAAGTTGCAGGATACAAAACCAACTTATAAAAATCAGTAGCAGTTCTATACATTAACAATGTACTATCTGAAAAAGAAATTAAGAAAACGATCCTATTTACAACAGTATCAAAAAAAAATACTGAGGTGTAATTTAACCAAGGAGGTAAATGATCTGTATGCTGAAAACTATAAAACAATGATGAAAGAAGCTGAAAATGACACGAATAAGTGGAAGTATATCCTGTGTTCACAGAATGGAAGACTTAATATTGTAAAAATGATCATACTACCCAAAGCAATCTACAGATTCAATACAATCTCTATCAGAATTCCAATGTCATTCCTCATTCTTCACACAAATAAAAAAAAAAGTCCTAAATTTGTATGGAACCACAAAAGACCCCAAATAGCCAAAGTAATCTTAAGCAAAAAGAACAAAGCTGGAGACATCACACTACTGGATGATTTAAAATATATTACAAAGTATAGTAATCAATACAGCATGGTACTGGCATAAAAACAGACACATCACCCAATGGCATAGGATAGAGATCCCAGAAACAAACACACACATGTATGGTCAATTGCTTTTCAACAATGGTGCCAAGAATGCACAATGGAGAAAGGACAGTCTCTTCAATAAATTGTGTTGTAAAACCTGGATATCCACTTGCAGAAGAATGAAAATGGATGCTCATCACACCCCGTATACAAGAATCAACTCAAAATGGATTAGAGTTAAATGTAAGATCTAAAACTGTAACACTAGTAGAAGAAAACATTAGGGGGAAGTTCTGTGACATTGGCATGGGAAGAGATTTCTTGGATATGAGCCCCAAAACACAGGCAATGAAAGCAAAAATAGACAAATGGGATTGCATCAAATCAAAAAGTTTCTGCATAGCAAAGGAAAAAATTAATAGAATGAAAAGAAAATCCACAGATTGGGAGAAAATATTTACAAATCATACAATGAATAAGGGGCTAATATATACTCCGATTGGATAAGAGGCTAATATCCAAAATACACAAAAAATTCAACTACTCAATAACGAGAAAACCAATAGCCTTATTTGGCAGTAAACACTGATTGCATTCCTCTCCGATCTATAAAAAAGAAATCTTTGCAGTCTTACCTGGAGTCAGAGGGATGGACTCTCTCAAAGTTATTTTTCAGTTTCTCTACATACGTACCTACAGAAATAAGAAGAGGGAGAGAAGCAGATCCCATGTAACGGGAGTAAACACTTCGTTCCAGTATGACAGGCTTATCATCCCCCCCACACTCCTGCGGAGCCAGATCCCCTTCCCAAAGCCCCGCGCCCCCACTCCACCATCGGGGGGTTTGGCGACTCCCAGAAGACACGGCCCAGAGGGGAATCCTCCTGGGCTGACCAATCCGGCACCTGCCAGCAGGCAGGCGAGAGGGGCTTTCCCGAAAGGAAAACTTTTCCAAACTTGGGGGCTGGGGGTAGAGAACACAAAAGGAGCGCGCCCCTGGCTCCCGTTCCCACGACCTGCCGGCCCCTGCCCCTCGGGGTGGGCGGCGCGACGAGGGAGGATCCCGCCTCAGGCCGAGGCGAGAGCCCGCCCGCTCCCCGCCTGTGTCCGCCGCTGACGTCGCCCGCGAAGTTTGGGGAGGGAGGAGCTCGGACGGCCGGCTCGGCGGCGGGGCGCGCCGGGGAGGGCTACGGCCGCGAGAGGAAGCTCCTCCTCAGCGCGGCGCCGCAGACTTGACCCAAGTCTCTCCAAGAGTCTCCTCCGGCCCCGGAAAAGCAGCTGCTGGCGTGAGGGCCGCCTGGGGAATGGGCGGCCTCGTGACCTGAAGTCCCGGGGCAGGAAGGGCCTTGCCGGCCTCGCTCGCGCAAGGGCGGATTTGCGCGGCCGGCACAGCAGGAACCGGCCGGCGGCCTGAGCGCCCGCGACCATGAACGAGGAGGCCATCTGCAGCGCGCTGCCCACCGTCCCCTACCGCAAGCTCGCCGACCTGTGCTACCTGAGCCGCGGCGCCTCGGGCACCGTGTCGTCCGCCCGCCACGCAGACTGGCGCGTTCAGGTGGCCGTGAAGCACCTGCACATCCACACCCCACTGCTCGACAGGTAGGGCGCCACCGGGGTTCCTGGGCAGAGCCCCGAACTCTGCTGCACCCCCCACACCCCCACCCTACCCCGGGCTAGTGGGCTCTAGAACCGAGACGGCCGTGACCACCTGGGGCAGGCGCCACCCATTCCTCTTCAGCAGGTAAACCGAGCTGGGGGCTGGCATGGTGGGGAGAACCGGCTTCTCTTGAGATGCAACAATCGCATTCCTCCACTCATCTCTTCTGGCCACGGCCCTTTCTCTCCCCTGTCACTCTCGCAGGCGTCCTCTCCCCGTACTCCAAAAAGCAGCAATCACAGCCCAACTCTAAATGCCCTGTTTATTGATGTTGATGTGTGTTTGTATAGTGGGCGGCATAGTGTTTGCTTTGATATTTCCTGTTTTTTTCGAAATTGGGCGGTAGGGTTGCACTGTCCAATAGGTAGCTCCTAGACACAGGTGACTATTGAGCGCATGAAATGTGGTTATCAGAATTGAAATGTGCTGTTGGTGTAAAATACAAACCGGATTTTGAACACTTAGTGCTTAAAGAAAAACAGAACTTGCAATGTTTTATTAATATTTTTATATTTATTGTGTACGGAAATGATATTTTTTATATATTGGGCTAAATATAAGAAATTGTTAAAATTCATTTCACGTGGTTTTTTTTCTTTTTTTTAATGTGGCCACTAGAAAATTTAGAATTGTACCTATGTGGTTTGCATTACATGTTTCTTGGACAGCACTGCTCTAGAGTCTGGGATATTTTGGTTTGAGCTTTTTATTGTTTTTGTTTAGTTTGTGGTTTATTATGCATAGTCAAGAAAGTTTAAATATCAAACTCGACATTAGCAGTTCAGTTTCTCCCACTCTCACAGGGAAGACTGTCCCTAGAGGAAATGTGTGTTATTTTTGTTACAATAAATTGAATCAAAAGACTGTTAGATAGCCAAAAATTGAGAATGTCTCTCACATCCTGGTTTGTCCAGGTTTTCAGGAAAGGTTACCGTAAGTTACTGTTTCCAGAAAAACATTACAACCATATACTGTAGACCTGTGACTGTGTATATTTGTCAGTGGGTCTAGTCACTAGTTTTGTGTATTTTCCTTCCTGTAGAGATTTAACTAGGGCCTGCATTCAGTTCTTAGGGAGTTACCATCCGTGATTGCAACATTCCCTTCTCTCCCTATATCAAATGTAAAAATACACCATCACAGATGCCAGATTGGCCAAAGGCTGTTGGTATCCAACATCAGTTAAATTTCTCAGCTTCAGCCCTGCCAAAGTTATTGGACTTTCATCTGCCTGTGGCTTTTCTTTGTTGAAGCCAAAGGATCACTATCAGGCTTGGATGGGCTAGATGACACAATAGATTTGGGACACCTTTAGATGTTTTTTCTATTCTTCGTACACCATTTCAGGTTCAGTGATATATGGGGTGTGGTGTCTGTTTACTCTGGGCCTTATTTTCTGTGGAGGAGGTGCTGGGCAAGTGTGTGGATGTGGATATAGTCAACTTTAAAGGGTGGTGGTTGGTTAGAGAGGGTAGATACATTTTAGAACCAACTATGCAAATAGTATATGGAAATGTAGCGCTGATGGACCTATTAGGTATTCTGAAGCCAATTGATCATCCCATTTTGGATGCTGCTTCTCAAGATTTTAATTTATCTAAGCTTTGTGCCATTTGGGGGCCAAGGACTGAAGAGGGAGTTCCCTTCCCATACTCTTAACAATTTTCATAGTCTAAAGTTCTTCACTAAATTGGGTAGGAAATAATTCTGTCTTCAAAGAAGCCATAAGTCCAGTGAAACACTCTGGCATTACCACATCACATTCTTTTCTCCAGCTTGTTACCTAAGGTCTTAACAGTAGCAGTATTTATGTAGTCTGAGCATAAGACTAGGCTATGCAGTTGACACACAGGATGTCTATTTCCTCACATGTATAGTAGGAATAATAAACACATGTACTTCTTGGGTTCTGGTGTGGCTAATGTTTACATTGCTCTTTGGGATCACCTAAAAGAAAAATAAGTTTAAGTGATGCTACCTACTCTTATTTTAGTGATTGGTGAATCATTTTCCATAACCTGACTTCTCTCCAGTGAGTAGACCTTCCCCAACAATCTTCACACCCCTTATGAGCAGATGAGTCCAATTGGCTGTTCACATATCCTGTTGATGACATAACTGTTTTTTTAATTGAAATTTTGAGTTGGGTAATTTTAGTGTTATGTATATAGAAGCTGTATTTTACATTTTTACTTTTAAAAATGTAAAAACCTATTTTAAAAATCTTTTGGCCTTATTTTCCCACTCACTCAATCTTTCCAAAATCCAACTTCAAGAACTTTCCAACTTTCTACTCTGATCAAGCAATGGGGTAAAAAGAACACAGGCTTTAGGAGTTCCGTGATTGCAATTCAAATCCACCTCCAACCCTACCACTTATTATTGGAAATTATAATTTCCAATAGAAAATTATTTCTATAGAAAAAATTATTTCTATAGAAAATTATTAATTTTTCTGAGCCTCTACATCCTCATATATAAAGTGTCGATAATGAAACCAACTTTAGAGGGTTGAGCTTAGGATGGCATATAAAGTGGCTGACACATAATAGGGTCACAGTGGAGGGAAGACTGCCTCATACTCTTAACGGGAGGAGGAAAGAGTGTATTAAGTATCAGTGAGACTTTGCAGCATGCCCTCTCAGCATCCAGGAATCTTCAGGTTCACCCTGTGTGCCTTGTTGGCCCACAGTTCTTGGGCAAATACAGAACTGTTCCAACTTAGGGAGTATAAGTTTAATTAAAACAAGTCTAATATCCAGTGCTTGCTTTGTACAGAAAATAAGTAAAAAATTAAAAAAAAACAGGTCTCACAAACTGATATAATTGGTTTCCTCATGGTTGGGTTATTAAGTGATTAAAGGACACAGAGAAAGAGAGAAGCTTTTTACTTTATGCCTTTCTATTATTCTTGAATTTTGAAACATGTGAATATATTACCTATTCAAAAAACAAATGACTAAGATTTTGGTTTTTGGTTTGTGCTTAAAGCAGGCCTCAGAGTCTGGTCTGGGATGTCTGTTGGTATTCATATTTCAGCAGCCATTCATCCAGAGCTTGGGTAGTCTAAGAGCCGACTTACCATCATCACTTACTTAATAGGCTTATTCCGGAAACATTTCTATTTCTGTTATTGCTGCTACCAACACCCAGTTATCCAGGGTAAAACATGATGACGTCTCCAATTCCCTTCCATTTTTGTTAAATCCCTCACATTCAGTCAGTCACCATGACATGGGCGTTCCATTCAGCTAGTGTTTTTCTTTCCATTTCCACTGCTACTTTGATAGTTTTAGGTATTCATTGCTTCACACCTTGACTGGTATTAAAATCTCCTAACCTGACTTTCAAACTCTACCTCTTCCTGCTGATCCTACATTCTGTTGCCAAGGTAGTGATCCTAAAATTTTGTTCTACTGTCATTCTCCTGCTCACAAACCTTCAGTTATGCTGGATACTATGGCAGGTACCTCGGTAGTCCCAGCTACTCAGGAGGCTGAGGTGAGAGGATCACATGAGCCCAGGAGTTCAAGTCCAGCCTGGGCAACATAGTGAGACCCTCTGTCTCTTAAAAAAAAAAAAATCTGTATGTTAAAAAAAAAACCCTTCAGTTACAACTCAGTGACTACCAAATAAAGTTTAACCACCCTAACCTGGCTTTAATACTCTCAGATGTGGCCCTAGCCTGTATTATTCGCCCTTACTCCTTTTGTATTACATACCCTGATCCATATTAAACAATTCACAATTTCCCAAACATAGTCTTCACTTTAACCTCCTTGAATTCATTTGATACATAGCTGTTGGACATCCGCTATATTACTACAATATGTGCTAGGCACTGTTCTAAGTCCTAGGGATACACAGGTAAAAAAAGAAAGACAAGTTCCCTTCACATGCGGATGAGAGTATCCATCTTAGGTACTCTGTCTCCACTGTTGAAATTCTATCCGTCTTTAAGGTACAGCTGAAATCCTGCATTTCTAAAGACTGTAGTGACTTCCCTAGCCCCAAATTTACTCTCTCTTTTCTCTGAATTCCCCATGGTTTTCTTTTCTTTTCTTTATTTTTTTTGTGGGACTTGTCATATTCTGCTTTATATTTTTATTTTTCTTAAAAGATTTCTGAACAACTTGAAGGCAAAGATTATGTCTTTTTATCTTTATAGTCTCCATAATACTTAACACAATTCTTTATAATAAAATTTAAATATTTGCTTTATGAATGAATAAGCAAAGGAACCTGGGATTCAAAGTTACCACAGGAATCTGTTATAAGCGTTTACCTATTCTCAGTGTTCTCTTCCTGAGTTCTGATACATAATTTCTAAATATTGTTGATCTTTATGCAGCTGTTATCATCTAGTCATTTAAATCTACAGCATTTAAAATTTTTAGTAGAATATTTAGAAAAATTTTTCATGGTATACAACCATAAAATTTAATATAATATAATCAAATCAGTTCATTTTAATATTAATACAATATAAACTTAATAGTTTAAATAGTTCAAGCACCAATTATTCTAACATAGATAAGACTTTATAAGTTTAGTCTAACATTGTGTTCTTTTCCTTTCCTAGGAAAAGTATAATAATAAAAACCTGTGTATAGCACTTTTACCTGTCAGTGGTTTATAGGCATTATTTTGATCTCTTAACAGGCCTGTGGAATATATACGGTAGGTATTATCTCTGTTTTAAATATGATGAAACTAAGGTACAGAGAAATTGCATAACTTACATGTGGTCACGTAGCTAATTAATGAAAAAGCCAGGATTAATTAATCTGGTAAGCATGATAATTGTATATTTTTCATTACTTGAAATAATTACGCATTTTCTTTTCTTAGTGAAAGAAATGATGTCCTAAGAGAAGCTGAAATTTTACACAAAGCTAGATTTAGTTACATTCTTCCCATTTTGGGAATTTGCATTGAGCCTGAATTTTTGGGAATAGTTACTGAATATATGCCAAATGGATCATTAAATGAACTCCTACATAGGGTAAGTACTACACATTTTCAGTGACTATAATTACCATTTCTGTTATTCAGACTATATTCTTTGGTTTTATATTTGGTCAGATTATTTGGGGGTATGTAGGTGAATCAAAGTAAGAATAATGAAAAACAGCCACAGGGGTAAAATTTTACCTTTTGTGGCTTTTTTTGTGTTAATAAAAATACTGGGGATTCGGGACCCTTATTCTAAGGGAACTAGATTATTTTGCTTCGGTTACTGTTCCTGACGTTGATGCTGAATTCCAGTGTTCATATGGATATTACATAGGTAGAAATGGAAAAAAGAAAAGATAAATTCTGCACATTATACAACCTACTGTTAAGCCATATTTTATTTTATACATTTTTAAAAATTTATTTATATGGAAGCCTTGTGAATTTGCATGTCATCCTTGTACAGGGGCCATGCTAATCTCTGTACTGTTCTAATTTTAGTATACATGCTGCCACAGAGTGAGCACTTATTTTATACTAATAACAATTTAGGATTGAAATATACTAATACCAGTTCATAAAGTTCTAAATTAATAGTCCAAATAAATTATCTCTGAGTACCAGATATATTAGCTTTTCCAATAATAGGCAATGGTGTAAGCCATTTTCCATTTTCTCAAGACACTAGTTACTCTGGCTTTGATTGTGAAGCCCATCAGTAAACAAATTCAGGGGGCCTCCTTTTCAATATACATGTATTCAATTATTGTTGTTTGCTTGAGCTTACATTATTAATTTTATCTCCAATCTGCAATTTCTCTGAAGAAATTCTTTGAACTACTTGATCCATTTTGTGAGGGTTGATTTAGTTAAAACTGTGTGATAATCTGCAAAATCCAATTAGTGGACACTCCTAAATAATAATATATCACAGTGCTCCATAAATGACCAAAGGAAAGTGGGTACCACTGTCAGCCTGTCACAGAGTAAATTCCTCTTTGCTTCGGAATATGTTGCCTTCTATTCATGACATGTGACCGTCTGAAACAAGGATGGGGTAAAGTAACTGGTGTCAGTCTGTAAGATTTGTGTAACCGGCCGGGCGCAGTGGCTCACGCCTGTAATCCTAGCTCTCTGGGAGGCCGAGGCGGGC